CATGGCGTGCTGCCGTGTCGAAATTTCAAATTTGCCGAAAATGGATTTTAACTCCGATTTTTGGGTTTCTTGGGTATTTTAGGTACTTGAAGCGTGTTTTAATTTTCAAATAAAAATTCAGGAAATCCGGGGACCGTCAGTAGGCGCAGCTGAGAGTTTAGCGTTTCAGACACTGATTCAGGTAATAATCTCTTACCTTATTGCTTATTATGGAACTGAAGTTTAATTATAAATAATGTGGTATTTTGTACAATTTAAAAAATTTCGATAATTAATCACATATTACTAATAGAGCCGAAACCAGTTATTTATTACTGTTGATCCTGTTTTAACTGGTCGATTGATTTTACAGTTGTTAAAAGCATGATAATACACTGAAATTGGTAAGATGATTCGGTTGTATTTTATTGATGCATATATTGCTTATTTTGCGTGAGTTGCAGTTAAATTGTGAAACTGAAATTTAAATGTAAACAAGAAATTGGTGATATAGTGAATGAATGAATGGTAGCCTTACTGGATATCCTGGGAGATGGTGGACGGACCAGGTGTATAGGAAACCTTAATGTGAATGTTGTCTCATACTGGAGGAGATATCGAGAATTGATGTTTTGGCGCTCATACCGAACGGGGTATGAGAACAACCCGTTTCACCCTCATACCAGATAAGGTATTGATGAATAGTATTTTTAGCGCTCATACCAGACGAGGTATAGGAACGGTTGGTTAGTTGACAATGTTGAATAAGGGTTCACGCGTAGTGGGGACATCCCTATGAACTCATACGGATATCAGTAGGCAGATAAAAAAGAAAAGTTGTTGTTCTGGTTAATTGAATATAAAATTATGATATTATTGTGTGATTGCCTCTATAAGTTAGTTTTGGTAGTTTCGCTACTGTAAGTATATTATAAATGATTTTATTTACGATAACTAAAATTACTTAAATTAAGAGCCCTATTAGTTGTTTTAATGATTTTTACTAACTTTTATTTATGTATTGGTGAGTAGTATGATATTTTTACTGGGTTAGTGTAACTCACTATTTCATTAATCAATTCAGATCAAGAGGACGAAGATCCAGATCCTGATTCATAAGAAGATTTCGAATAGGATGTCCAATTATTTATTTTCTATTTATTTCTTTAATTTTTCATTATTATTTTAGAATGATTACTCTCGTATCCATATTGTTATTATAAATTATTGTGTAAGGAATGTAAAAACTAACGTTATTATTTCGCTTACGCATTCAATTTATAATTTAGTTTCTTTATACTTATGGGTTGTTACAATAATGATTATATTAATTAAAAAAATATAACATTCACATAATGTATATTTTACGTATAATAATAGACTCATTAAAATTTAACAACATCTAATTTCATAAACATATTAATGAATTAAATTATTAATTTAATTAAATTAAATATTATACACTAATACTCACAAAGTGGTATTTTTGATTAAATTTAAACTTGTAATTTTTAAATAAAAATACAAAAAATATTAATCACCAAATTACCGGTTCATGTTTGAATAGTTATCACATCAATTGATTGCGCGTAGAAAGTTTACTGGTTTTAGGGCCCATTAATAGCTTCATCTGGACCAACTAAACGGCCTAGAATGTGTCGGGTGGGTTCAGCCTCCAGAAAAACTCAGAATTACAATTTTGTATGGTTACGTTTTCTAACGTCTTTGTATTATATTATAATTAATACATATATATATTCAAAAAATAAATGAAAACTGATAAATTTAAATAAAATATGAATCTAATTTCTAAAATCATACTTCGATTAAAATTTAAACTAAAATAACAGAAAATTTCAATAAAAATAAAAAAAAACATCAAAATTTACCAACTTCTTTTTATATTATATATATATATATATATTTTAAAGAAAGGTGGTATATGGTATGTTAATACTTTCAATTAAATATAAAACCATAATATTACTTCCATCATATGATCATCATAAGCATCTCCAATTCCACCTTAACAAATAAGTTGACTAGAAAAAGAGAATAAAAAAAAAAAATTAGAAAACCATATCTCACGATTCCATTCAGTCTTCATACGTGCGGCACTCCTTAGTCTCCGGGTTATCCTTGCAGAAAGCTTCCAGGGGATCCGCCGCTTCGGCTTTCTTCCTGTCCCTCGCGTGGCTAGCCGCCGCGCTCAGCTCCTCCACCTCGTCCCACGAGGCCGCGCACTCCCCCGTGTCCGGGTTGCTCTCACACATCTCCTCCGCTTTCTTCACGCTCTCCGCTAACCTCTCCGATATGCCATCCGGGGCGGTTCTCGCGGGTCGGAAATGAACCAGCCGACCGGATCCGAAGTGGATTCCGGACTGCTTTTTCCATGGTTGGTTCAGGTAAGGAGACCTTATGGAGCGAGGAGCCTTCGGCGAGTAGTCTGTTGCCTTTGCAAGGACTCTTGAACTGGTTGTGAGGTTAATTCCAGCTATTGTCGCCATTTTTTGTCGATGAATAGTAGCAGCTTGGTTCGGTGTTGATGATTTAAGCTTTCGGGGTGAGATTCTCGACAAATTATATGGTAGGCTGGAAATGTTTTCCCAACGCAGAAATCTTATCGAGTGAGAACCAATCATATGCTTACACGTCACCGTAAAATGAAGATATTTCTCTTTTTTTTCTTTTCTGGGAAATATCAACCTTTTCTTGGTGTTTTTTTTTTTTAATTATTAAATTATAAATTTTAAAAATTATTAGTACATAAAAAAGTGCGTCTATATTATTATTCTTAATCATGCAACACATAAGGAAATCATATTAATTAAATTCAGGCAATTGATTTTTTAATTTGTTTTGATTTTCCAATTAAAAAAAGTTTCTGTACGTGTTTGGGACTGGAGAGACGCTTGTCATCGGATAGGTGGGAAATTCTTCGATATTTCGGTTGAAATAGAGGCTTTAGATATGGCCAAGTGTTCACTAAAAACAAAAATAAATTTAAAATAAAATGAGAAACCAATTTAAATATTAATTTAAATATGAATTCATAAAAAGATAAAATTTATACAAATAAGATTTATCACTTATCAGTTTCATATATAACAAATAATTCAAATTAATTAAAATTTTAAAAAATAAATCTTAAATTTATTTGACGATAAAATCCAACGTACTTAGATTGAAGTTCACAGTCGTAGCGTCTGCTTCTCCAGCCCACACCAAAAGCCACTTCATAAAGCCGGATGGAGGATACCACACGACTCGACTCCGGGCCCACACGCTAATCTTTTTCTTTTTTTTAAAAAATTATCTTTTTCTAAATGATTGTTCCTAAGAAGTTTCATCAATAAGAAGTAGAGTTTTGAGTCCATGTATGATGCTGCGTCTTCAAAAACTCTCGAATCGCTTCTCTCTCCTCTCACTCTGTCCTCTCTCTTCTCCTTCATCTCGTCCAGTCTTCGTCTCTCTCAAACTCGGCCGATTCGACTCGGTCCGTACCCGCGGCCACCTGAGAACTCGCTCCAGGACCTCCGTCCGTACGATCATGACTGTTTCTGGTGGTGCTGATACTACTACCCCTAGGCTTCGAGCTCTTGTACCTATGAACGCTGGTGGTGGAGAAGATGTTGGTGGAAGTTACGCTATTGGCTCCGTCTCAGCTTCTGCTGTTGAAGATGATGGTACTTTTGAGATCAAATACAATACTTTTTATCTTTTCTTGAAATGTTGCTCGGAATAGGTTCTTAGTTGTGAAGAATTGTGGCAGTGTAGGTGCTTGATTGATTCTCTTCTAGTAGTTGACCTGTGTTTATTTGGATTGATCGATTGCTGGATGACGTTAGTGCGAACTCTATCTGAAGTTTAATATCTTGAATATGTGAATGGAGTTGGATTTGCCTTGTTTTGATTGATTCTCTTGTACGGAAGTATTTCGCGAAGCAGAGATTGTGGTATCTAGTAGTTGACCTTTGTTTCTTTGACCGGAATGTTGAATTTAGTATAACTGTTTTTAAAATTTGATGTATTGACTCTTTTAATGAAGTTGGACTCCGTTGTTTGCTGAAGTATTTTCCAAAGCAGAGATTTTAGTCTCTAGTAGTTGACCTTTGTTTCTTTGAATAAGTTGATAGCAGGCTGAATTTAGTGTCAGCTGTATTTGAAATTTAATATCTTGAATCTGTTGATGGAGTTGGATTTGCCTTGTTTTGATGCATTGAGCGAAGCAGAGACTTTATTTTATAACTTAAATTACATACTTTCCAAATAGTAGTAGTTACGTACTTATTTCTGTTCAGTCTCTCAATATCTAACTTGTCCTTTCTCTCCTCGGATTCGTTTGATTACTGAGCTGATTATGTCTGGCATTATTATTTTAACATTAGGTATGAATGTTTTGTGGTACTGTCTCTGTCCTGTGATCCAAAGCTTAATGGTATTTTATCAGATTGTGTTTTTCCTAACCTTCAATGATCTTTGCAAGACCATACTTGTTTAAAGATTTTTGGATGGAGGGGTGATCAGAAGCAAATATCTAATAGTAAGCGATGCTTATTTCGATTCATAATATGCAGAGTCAGCAATTGGAGTTGGATATCGTCTCCCTGTTCCAGAGATTAGAGATATCGTTGATGCTCCACCACTTCCTGCACTTTCCTTTTCACCTCAGAGGGATAAACTACTGTTTCTCAAACGGAGATCTTTACCTCCATTAGCTGAACTGGCCAGACCAGAAGAGAAGCTTGCTGGTATCCGCATTGATGGGAAATGCAATACTAGGAGCAGGATGTCATTCTACACTGGCATTGGGGTCCATCAACTAATGCCTGATGGTACACTGGGGGCAGAGAAAGAGATTCAAGGCATCCCTAATGGTGGGAAGATAAATTTTGTCACGTGGTCAAATGATGGTAGGCATTTAGCCTTTAGTGTCCGAGTTGCGGAGGAAGGTAGTGCTAGTAGTAAGCTTAGCGTGTGGGTTGCTGACGTGGAAAAAGGGGAAGCTAGACCACTTTTTCAATCACAAACCATCCATCTAAATGCAGTTTTTGACAACTTTATTTGGGTAGATAATTCCACTTTGTTAGTTTGCACAATTCCTTCATCTCGTGGAGACCCTCCAAAGAAACCTTTGGTTCCCTCTAGTCCAAAGATTCAATCCAATGAGCAGAAAAGTGTTATTCAAGTAAGGACCTTCCAAGATTTGCTCAAGGATGAATACGATGAAGAGTTATTTGACTACTATGCCACTTCACAGCTTGTATTGGCTACTTTGGATGGGTCAGTGAAGGAGATTGGGCCACCAGCTGTATACACATCTGTGGACCCTTCTCCAGATGGGAAATACCTTTTGATTACTTCCATTCATAGGCCATATTCTTTTATTGTACCATGTGGAAGATTTCCCAAGAAGGTAGATATATGGACAGCTGATGGGAAATTTGTTAGAGATTTATGTGATTTGCCCCTAGCTGAGGACATTCCCATTGCATTCAATAGTGTGCGGAAAGGAATGCGCTCTATCAATTGGAGAGCGGATAAGCCTTCTACGCTCTATTGGTATGTAACTGGAATTTATGTTAAGATCTCATTAAATTTTACAAAAAAATTGGTTGTGCCTGAAATTTATGTTAAGCTCTCACTAAATTTTACAAAAAAGTTGGTTATGGAACGAGGATGAAGTCTTAAAAGTGCCAGTCTCCATGTAAAACTTGCATAGAATTTTGGATGGCAGCTGAAGTTCCTTCTGTGTGGTTCATAGTCTGTGTGATAATCTAACTTTTATGATTAGATGTGGATCTGGTTTTTTAATGTAATTTTTTTACAAACTTTATCGAGTTTTTAGGGCAGAAACACAAGATGGAGGTGATGCCAAAGTGGAAGTTTCTCCACGTGATATAATCTATACACAGCCTGCTGAGCCACGTGAAGGTGAACGGCCAGAAATTTTGCACAAACTCGATCTTCGTTATGGGTATGAATGTGCTGTATTTCTCCATTTGATTTGTCCTGCATAAGTTTCTCCTACAGATATTCATGTTTTAAGTTACTGATCTTTTCAAAGTGATGCTTTCGAACTTCGTGAGAGACTTTTGTTTCGATAATTGGCAACCTTTTCGACATTGTTATAAAGCATCGTAGGCTTGACTATTGATAAAAAATATATGAGCTAGAAGCTGACATTTCCATATCTGATGAATTCTGACTTTGTGAGATACTTATAGCTCTGTCCATCTTTATGTTTGATTTCCATACCTAAGGTTTAGTTTGTTTTCTGTAGATTCTAGATCTTTATCTTTATTCAAGCTATTTTCGTGATGATAGCTTAATAACTTTTTTGAATGATGACACCAATCATTCATTTCTTTCTGAATCAATAGTTTCTGACACGACATAGTTGTATTGCATGATCAGTACATCAAATATTGAAGAAAGTTAGCGTGTGGTTTTGGCATAATTTTTGTTATTCCATCGTTAGTTTCCAGTTGCAGTTTTTTTTTTTTGAAATAAAAAAAGAACTCCTTAAGTTTCCAGCTGCAGTTTTAATTGTACAAAGCTCCTTAAGAGCACTGTTCTTATGTATATCAACTCCTTGTGTCCTCAGAGGGATTTCTTGGTGTGACGATTCCCTAGCTTTGGTTTATGAGTCTTGGTATAAAACACGGCGTACAAGGACATGGGTGATATCTCCTGGATCCGAGGATGTAAGTCCACGCATACTGTTTGACAGATCATCAGAAGATGTGTATTCTGATCCTGGCTCCCCCATGTTGAGGAGAACTGCTACTGGGACCTATGTGATAGCAAAGATAAAGAAGGAAAATGATGAGAGAACTTATGTTTTACTGAATGGAAGTGGTGCTACACCAGAAGGGAACATCCCTTTCCTTGATTTGTTTGACATGTAAGTATCATAATATGTATACGGTCTTCTTCCCCTTCTCATTTAGTAATCACTGGTGCTGCTGTAATCTAAACCAAATTCTTCCAGAAATACAGGCAACAAAGAACGAATATGGGAGAGCGACAAGGAAAAATATTATGAGACTGTTGTTGCTTTAATGTCTGATCAGAAAGAAGGGGATTTAGGTATTAACGAGCTGAAAATACTCACCTCCAAGGAATCAAAAACTGAAAATACCCAATACTACATCCAGCAGTGGCCTGACAAAAAAGTATATCAAATCACAAATTTCCCTCACCCCTACCCTCAATTAGCATCATTGCAGAAGGAGATGATTAGGTACCAAAGAAAGGATGGTGTGCAACTTACTGCAACATTATACTTGTCACCCGGCTATGATCCATCAAAAGATGGCCCTCTTCCTTGTTTAGTCTGGTCTTACCCCGGAGAATTCAAAAGCAAAGATGCTGCTGGTCAAGTTCGTGGTTCTCCAAATGAATTTCCAGGCATAGGTCCGACATCAGCTCTTCTTTGGCTGGCTAGAAGGCATGAAACTGCTTCTTCCTTGGTTAATTTATTTATTTATTTTTGGTATTTCTGTGTCCATCTGAAATGCTTTGCGCTCCTACTAGATGCTTCGATTCTAGCATGCTGGCTCACATTTTGGTTACTTCTCATCCTGCAGATTTGCTATATTGTCAGGACCAACAATTCCCATTATTGGTGAAGGTGATGAGGAGGCAAATGACAGGTGTTAGATTTTCAGTCTGTTCTAGATTTGGGTTTTCTGCACCATTATAAGGTTTTGAAAACTAATTTTGTTCACTATTGAGGAATGAGAATAAAGATACACTAAGATGGACATTTTTCATAGGCAACGACTTTCATGGTGAGGTGCTGAAATATTTTTCATCCAACTGAAAGGGAAATGTTTGGAAATGTGGTTGAGGATTCAAACAAGTACAAAATTACATAGAAGAGGTGCCAAAAAAAATATGGAAAAAGATAAAGTATTGGCATTGCTTGTGAAATATGTTTGAAGAAAGAGAAAAAAGAGTATGCCGTGTTTACTTCACCCTAGGAACAAATGTCTGTTTCCATTTTCTTTCCTTCCCTTCCCCAAACTCACTACACTCCCAAGCTAATGTTTCTTCAAAATGAATTATGCCAAGCTATTATTAGATGAGTTCTCACATACCTTTTCTCTTTTTATAATAATTTTTATTTTTGTTGAGCTTTTATCCGAATCTACAGGAGTACCTCTTCCGGTTTGTTAGCTACCATACAAACATTTAAGTAGCTTTGCAATATCTGGCCCTAGATTGTTTATGGACCATTAATCAAATGTCTTAACCAGGTATGTAGAACAGTTGGTTGCAAGTGCAGAGGCAGCTGTTGAAGAAGTCATTCGACGTGGGGTAAGCTGATTCTTTGTTTTGTGACTTATTAGTTTAGTATATTGATCTGAAAATTCTTGAATCGAACTATCTTCTGGTTCTGCTCTTTTTAAGGTGGCTCATCCAAAGAAAATTGCTGTTGGGGGACACTCCTATGGAGCATTCATGACTGCAAACCTCCTGGCACATGCCCCTCATCTTTTCTGTTGCGGAATTGCTCGCTCGGGAGCTTACAACAGAACGCTTACACCCTTTGGTTTTCAGGTGGTACACTAGCATTGATAGATTTTAGCTTTGATGCTTTCCAACAATTGAAAAATACATATGAAGTTTCTCGTTTCTTTCATCTATTACCTTCAAATAGGTTGGTGATTCTACTATATTTGTTTCTGCAGAATGAAGACAGGACTCTCTGGGAGGCAACTAATACATATGTAGAGATGAGCCCTTTCATGTCAGCAAATAAAATTAAGAAGCCAATCTTGCTTATTCATGGGGAAGAAGATAATAACCCAGGAACACTAACCATGCAGGTCAGAGATTCAACTCTTCTTTTTTGTTGTTCCAGTTAAACTGTTAATTACCTTTCGACTAGAGAGCTGACCAAGCATCTTTCACATTTTAACAATAGCATTTTTTTTACTCTGTTTAATTGCCACTTGTTTCATTTGTGCATTCTGCAGTCAGATCGCTTCTTCAATGCACTAAAGGGTCATGGTGCTCTTTGTCGTCTTGTTGTACTTCCTTTCGAGAGCCATGGTTATGCTGCACGAGAAAGCATTATGCATGTCCTCTGGGAAACTGACAGATGGCTAGACAAATATTGTGTCTCAAACACTTCTAATGTGGATGCAGAGCTGGATGCATGCAAAGCTGATGTAAACAATATAATCACAGACTCTGAAAACAAAGCAGTAGCTGCCACTGGAGGTGGCAGCCAAGAACAGACAGACTTCGAACATGATGATCTTCATTCAAAGCCAAGGTCATTACTATGGTAATTGTTTTTTCTGTGTATGTTTATTACAACTAAATTTGTTTTGATTGAAGTAAATATTATCCCTAAGTTTTGTTTTTCCTCCTGCTTTGGTTTTGTTTTTGTAATAATTATGTGCATGAAAGAAGCAATTTTATCATTTTTTTTGGGATATTTGTTTGAGATTCTTTTAGGGAACAATTTGCATGAAACACGAATTAAAACATGTAGCAGAAAGCATAACCTATTTACTAGTAGCTTGTTGGTTTGCCTCTACTTTCTTTAATTGTGAGTCTGTAAACACTTGAGAGCTAAAGAGGGGGAAATAGTTGAGGTAAAGGAAGAACAATAAAGGGTAGCGATCACTCTCTGCCTTATTTTAACGTCTAAAATTTGGGAGGAAAAAATAGTTTCCAAATTAAAAAATTGTCCTCCCTGTATTTTTTTGAAGAAAATAAAGATTTAATGAGAAATGAAAGGTGCAAGGTGCCTTTCCATTTTGATTCTCTTCATTGTAAACAACGGAGAAAAGGTTAATTTTTTTGGTCAGTAGGTTATTTGGTGTGTGTGTGTCTTTTGTTAATCACATATTGACCTTTGCTTAGCTATTGCTTCAGGAATAATATGCAGGGAAATTTTATAACATGTTCTTGCATCAGGAATCTCCTCTTGTAATCACTTTGTTTTCCACTTTAAAATCCATTTTTGTTTATCATGTCATAATTACTATATTTGGAAGGAAACAAGGTATTTTGTGAAATTCATTTTGAAATTCACATTTAGCTCGACAAGGAGGGAAGAAAATCTTATTGGAAGATGACAAAAAACTACCCACAAGAGAATTTTCAAGTAGAATTGAAACAATTATATTCTAAATTCCATCAGTTTTAATAAAATTTGGAGTCTATTGTTTCAATAGCATTAGAAATTTCCTATTAGCTTGATTGTTATCGTCTTTAAGATGGAATTTTCCACTGTTTCCTAATTAAAATTTACTGTCAATTTTTAAATAATTTCCACACAAAAATTTGATTCTCTCCGAACATAGTCTTAAACCAGCCTTGCAAACCTCCTAAACGCTTGGCAGCAATTCTCAGTATGTGATTGTAATAATTTATTTCTTTCCCTTCACGTCCACTAGCAGTCATCTTTGCATCAAAATATAGCTTTGTAATCATTAATCTTGAATCGTGCAGATTATTTCGTTGATATTTACTAGCCAGTTGGGAGGTCATTCAATTTGATGTGTGGATGCTAAATTATGCTTTCTGAAGATCCAGAGGACTGCTCACGAATTTGATCATGTACGGTAAGTCTGCTCCTCAAATTGACATCTATACGCAAAATAACACGCTACCTCAAACAGGTTTTTTCATTGTTTGGGTTTGGCTCCTTGTGATGATCACATCAAATGAACAGTTGGACAAACAACGTGTTGATGCATTTTTGGACTTAGTTTGGTTGTATAATAAGAACTATGCTCTGAACCTTGTCAAAATTTGGCATCTCAAAATCGATTTTATGGGTTTGTTCAGTAGTTATAACTTTATCTCTAGTTCAATATCTTATTACCAGTTGGTAGTCGTGCCGTATATGGGCCGTTCTGCCTCTCTCTGAATCAACCTATTTCCATCTCTGATATGTTCGTTCCAGACCGCCTTTGCGCAAAACAACCTTAGCAGTAATAATGCAATTACATCGTGCAGAACAATGGATTTCGGGAACCGGACAGGTACAATGTAACCGAATCCACACACAGAAAAATGTGATGAGAAGATCAGAGCAGATTGACATTCTGGTCTCGTTGGTTTAAATCTAATATTATTTTCACTCTTTATAGTTTTCAGTTGCTGCATGCATATAATTTAATCATAATTTTCATATGTTGAATTTAAGAATGATAAGCTTTCAAGATTTACGTGCTCGCACCTGACCATATACTGAATGATAAATTTGTACTTTCTTTTGTCATTATAATAATTAAAAACCTTACTTGAATTAAACATAAAATAGAAGAAAACATTAAAATACTAATCATTCAAATTTTTATCTCATTATTATTATATTCGTATTCTTATTTTTTTTATAAAAAAAAAAACTTAAACTAAACATAGTTTTAAATAGCGCTTGGTAATAAGAAAATAGAACAAAAGCCATTAAAAATTGGGATAAATTTTTGCAAAATGGTATAGCAAAGTTGTCGGCGCTACAAGGATAAATAATTTCCTATAAAACTCTCTTCATTTGTCTTGCTTTCCAACTTATTTAACATCAAATTATATTGTCTCTTAATTCTTTTAGTTTAATTTTTATAGTAAATAGATTTTAGTTTTCAATTTGAGTATGTTGATTTAATTATTAATTATTAAAATTTCAATAACATTGATTTTACTTCCGTCATCTTTTTACTAAAACTTAATTGATATATTGACTTATTTTTATTAATTAAGTCCAGGTAAATTAAAACAAAACACAAGTTAGAAATTATACTGAGTATTAAAATAATTAATTATACACGGTACTGTTACATCCAAATTTACACACACTAAATACTCCATTTTCCTTTAGTTGAATCATATCTAAAATACACCATCAATCAGTTCATATAAGGCATTAAAGATGCTGTTTCAAGAGACTCACCCACACTTATGGAAGTAAGTATATGCAGCACCGAAGTTCAAAAAATATGTATCAATAAAAAAAGAATATCTTCTTCCTCCATTTTCCCACACCAGGGACCGAGTTCAGCAACTCATAACGAGGACAGTCGGACAAATTCAAGTGTCAAAGCATAGGGCATAGCACCCAGTAAACAAAAACAACAATATTCAGGTCTAAGAAAATGTCCATGAATGCTTCAAGTTGAACATCAAATACAAACAAAACGCTAAACTCCTTGGATCACCAGAGACATTGCATAGACTTTCTTATTTTGGTAGCCATAAAAGAATTTAGGAATGTAAATAAACTACTGGGAATCTGGGTGGTAATGAACACCAAATGACATTTCAAGCAACCATAATTCTATTTAAAAAAACCACATAAAGATGCCACAGTGACGAAAATTGCAACAAGCTTCATGACATTTAAAGAAGATAACAGATCATCTCAAATACAATTGGTTTATTATTTAGAAACCCAGACCAATTTTTCTCATCTTACATCTAAGACCCAAATAGAAGCAGCAAAAATCATCAATACTGACATTTAAAGAAGATATCAGATCATCTCAAACACAACTGGTTTATTATTTAGAAACCCAGACCAAGGTTTGCTCATCTTATACCTAAGAGCCAAATAGAAGCAGCAAAAATCATCAATACTGCAGAAATTGTTTAACAAATCAGAATAGAAACAATCGAATTCCTATTCCTCTGCAGCGACAACACTAATCTCGCCTTTCTCAAGCAAGTCATAAAATGCCCTTGTTTTCCTTTGCTCATTCCAATGATGCATCTTCCACAAACCACCAGCAGCCAAACCAAGTGTGATACCTATAATTATCTCCTTCACAACACTTGGTCCTTTCAAGGTAGCATGAGCTATTTTATGGGCAGCCATTTCACTTCTCTATTTAATTCCAGTAAACCTACAACCAATGAAAAAATTTCTTTCTTATTCTGCTAAATCACAAAAGAATTACAAATACGAATCATCTAAAGGAAGACAAAACTAGATACTACTTCTTTGCAAATTAAAACATGGCTCTTAAATAACCATCATTTCCGAATTCTTGGTACAAGAAATTTCCAGCATCATCACATACAGGCTTAATATTTAAAATTAACCTCTAAATATAGCCATAATCCAATAACTACACATGCTGCTAATACTTACATTCAGTATTTAAACTGACATCAACAACAACACAAGGGAATGGTATGAACAAAGGAAACTTGATAGAAACATCAAAATTCACAAACGTTGCTTTTAGTTCAACTTTATTATGTTTTCATTCAATTCTTAAATCTTAATTATTTGATATGCAGTTAGTCATAACTTACATATTTGATACATAATTAAATCATCTTCACTGATATCTTCAATTTCACAATAATAGATATCTTCACTTGTTATGTCAGAATCTGAAAATTACCTAACTTGAATTGGAGACAGAATTGACTTAGAATTAGAAAATAATTTTCATTCAAATTTCTATTTTATTCTTATTCACAATCCGTGAAATGGAAATTCTAACTAAACTCAGCCAAAGGCTCAGAGCATATTATACAAGAAACACCGCCTGCCATATCACCATTACCAATATCGCCCCTAATATATCGTTATTCGGCTGCTAATTCTGACATTAAGTATTTAGACTGACATGAAGAGTAACATCAATAATCAAAATGAACAAAGAAAAGTTAATGGCAGCGGAAATCATAATTCATAAAGATCTACCTAGTCCATCATGTAAGAATTCGACAGAATATGATACAAGAAACACCGCCCACCCTATCATTATTGCCATATTCCTCAAATCAAGTTGCCAATCGAACCTAGATATGCTTTTTCTCGCCCCAATACTCGATCCTAGACATCACAAGCCATGGCTATAAAACCCAATCTTTAAGAATCAGAAACTTTCAATGACATTCAAAATCAAAAGGCCAGATGTAAAATCAGATGTCTAAATTTACACGTCATACAGACGCGTATGTATCTAACACATGAATCGATCAAGAGAGCCTAATCGCAGAAATCAAAAAGTACAAGCAATTAACAGAGCAAGGGCGAAAGGCTAATAAATGGAAGAAAATCGGAGAGATGGGATTAGATTAGGGTTTACCTGAGCCGGGATGAGAAGGGAAGCAGTGGTTGATTTCAGACTGCGAAAACTTGAAATAAGAACAATTATCGGCTTGGCACTTGAGAGTTAAAAAAATCTCTATTTTACGCTTGTCGATTATGTGGGCTTCTTAGAAGAAGCCTCGTAAGCAAGCTTGGGCTTGGGCCCTCTATCTCTCTAATTTTCCAAAATTATCACTTAAAATTTAAATTTATAAGATATCAGTCTTTTATTTTTTATTTTTTTATCATTAATGGAATTTATTAATAAAATTTACTAAATTTCTTAATTTATTCCAAACATAATCTAATATTAAATCTACACTTAAAAAAGTGTATTTCAGTTTTATGGAATTATATAAAAACTGAATTTTTATTAGCATACTATTGTTTTGTGTTACTGTTGAAAATAAATATAAATTTCTAAATGAACTCTTGTGAAAAATCTCATATTATTTACAATGCCATCTAAGATTACATAAAATTTTTATAATTCGCACAAAATATTACAATGTACATATATGTTTTACTATAATTTTCATTTTAAGAAGATTAAAAAACTAAATTAAATATTTTAATTAAAAAAATTTAATCATTTTATTCAAATACGTGATAATTCGTTTTAAATAAAACGTAAAAAATTTTATTTATATATTAATAAATTAAATTATTTATTTTATTAAATTATATATAATAAATTAAATATTATTAACCAATAATATATTTATAAAATAAAAAATTTTACATCGGAAATACAATTTTAACTCATAATTTAAGCAAAAAAAAAAAAAACAATATTTAACCATTTGGACATGATTTTAGGTGGTATTTGCTATACTGCTTAAAAAGAAAAAAAATACAAATTATATTAGTATTTGATTAAACTATAAGATATATATATATATATATATTAAACGATGATTAAACTATATTATGCATAGTCATCATCTAACATATTATTTTAAGTATGAAGTTGTAAAAGTTCCAAATATACCCAATAAACAAATATAGTAAACAAGAAAAGACAAAAAATAAAAAGAAACCAAAATCCTTTCTTTTCCCACCTTCTCTCGCCCAACATACATCCGCCGCTACCCGTTCCTCTTCCTCTTCTTATTCTTCTTCTGTCTCCTAGTTTCAGGGCAGAAGGAGCTGAGAAATGGCGTTTTGTAGATGCTGCTCCGCTACATCACTCATCTTTTTCTTCCTCGTTTCAGCCATCCCTCTCGCTTTCCTCGTCTCCCTGGAACTCGCCAAGCCAGCCACCCATGTCTACCACTACCACAGCTCCGGATTCTTCCGCGAGTGCGCCAAGTGGGACCAGCCCAACCGCCGATTCATCGTCTCCTTCTTCGAAGGCGGCCTCGGCCAGATTCCCCTCCCCGACAATCACCATCCTAACGCCGTACTGCAGGAATCCATCCTCGTCAAGGACGTTGATCTGACCGGCAATGCATCTCTCGGCTTCGTCATCGATTATCCAAGGAATCGCGTCCTCGTCGCCGTCGCCGACGTGCTCGGTAATCGCTACAGCGCGCTGGCGGCATACGATTTCTCTTCATGGCGCCGTCTCTTCCTCACCCAGCTCAACACCCCTAGTAAGTTTCCCTAACATTCATTTTCCTTTTACCCTATCGTTGTTGGTTCTCTATGTGCGAGATTTGTTTCTGTTGCGTGAACCTTAGTCTCCGACGTCCGTCGTCCGTTGATTCTGTTGACCGACTAATTCATCATCTGGGTCGTCGACTACTGATTTGATATATATAAAAATAATTGATAATAATTGATTTTGATACGGCAATTACTCCTTTCTAGTTGTCGTTAGCCTCATCTGTTTGTTTATTATAAATGGCTGCTTCACCAACCAACTGAGAGAGCATATTGATATTCGGGAAATTACAGTTTGACCCACCCTGTTTTGTTATTTATTTTTTAATCCAAAAATTTATGATTTTTTATAACAGTTCGGTCCTTAACTTTCTTTTTTTGTTGTTGATACACTAAATTTTGAAAAATTAATATTAGTATTTTGACAAACTCTTCTATTAAGACAATCCCGTAATTTGTGATGTAATAAATAAAACAACCACTTATTTAATTTTATTTTGTTTAAAAAATTTAAAATAAAAATATAGCTCGCACCCACCCTTTTAATAATTTAATCAAAGTAAAATTATATTTATATAAAATTAAATAGATTTAGTCAGGAGAGAATTATTTTTGTTCTAAGAGCTTCTTTTTTTAATTAGGAAAGCTGTAAATATTAATATATTTGTGAGGAAAAAAAAAAAAAAGTTGGTAGGGATAAGCAACCTACCTTAATGGTTTGATTAGTCAAAAAATTGGTATTATAACTTTCAGTCGCATAATTAAAAATTTAGAACTAAATGGTTGACAAAATGATGGGACATTTTTGGTTTTAATATTTAAATTACAATATTTTCATAATAAAAAGTCTAAACTATACAAAATATTCTAATATTTATATGATTGTGATAGAAGAATAATAATAATAATAGTAATAATAATGTTTTTTTTAATTATATATTTACACAATATGTTATTTTGTACTTTTTAAAATTATTTTTATACATTTATTATAGTTTTCCTATTTTTTTATTGTACAAATTTAGGTACTCTTTAAAGGAAAATTATTTTTATGTTGTTAATTTTTATTATTTTTAGACTCAAGTAAACTAAAAATAATAATATTTAATTAAATACGATTAATTATATTTAACTAAAAATAATAATATTTTTATGTTGCAGTTGATGGGAAAACGTTTGCAGACGACGTTGCGGTGGACGCAGAAGGCAATGCCTACGTCACGGACACCACCGGCAACAAAATTTGGAAAGTTGACGTTAACGGAAAACCCCTATCCATCATTAAGAGTCCTCTGTTTCCATCAAAACAGTGGTACGGAGACATGCTATCCTTAAACGGCATCGTTTACCACCCTGATGGCTACTTGATCGTCATCCATACCCTTTCCGGAAACTTGTACAAAATTGATATATCCAAGGGAGACGACGAAGTCAAGTTAATTGAGGTATCAGGTGGATCGCTTAGGTTAGGAGATGGCATAGAGCTGTTATCCCCAAGGCAACTTGTTGTCGCTGGGAGTTATCCTTCCGGGAGACTAGTGGAGAGCTCCGACGGGTGGGAGACCGCCGCCGTAGTCGGGAAGTTTAGGGGGCCGGTACACCGGATTTCGACGGCAGCTACCGTTAAAGACGGGAAGGTGTATTTGAATCACATGGTGGGAATGGGGTATCCGAGGAAGAAACATGCACTTGTTGAGGCTGTTTTTTTGGGCTTGAGGGCACATTCGGCCTGATGAGGAGTCAAAAATGATTTGGGGCTAGGGGGGTGTTTGGATCTGCAATATTTTATGACTTGGCGACCTTGTGGGTTAATTGCTTTTGGGTTTATGGGTTTTTGAAAGGTTTATGTAATGTAGAAACGATGATGTTGTACTGTTTCTTTGTTTTCAGGATGAGAAGGCTTCCAGTCTAGAGTGGTCAAGAAATAAATTTAAGAGTTCATTTTTTAAACTCTTCGTTATTTTAAGTATAAAGATTTTTGGACCATTTCCCACATTTTGTTTTGGAGTTATGAATTTAATAGAAAATTCATTTCAAATAAATACTAAAGTTCAATATTGTTTTCAAAATTCTAAAAGTAAAGAAGAAAATTATGACCTATTATCTATGGGTTTTCATGTTTTTTTTTGGGTGACTTTCAAAATTATAATTATTTTAATATCTTTTCCTAATCTTTTTTATTTATATTAATATGAGGAAAAAAAAATCAATCCAAATGGACACTCAAATATAATGTTATTATAGAGAGATAAGAGGATATGATTATCATCTTTTAAAATTATTTAAACTTGTATTTATCATTAGTTAACTCTATTACTCATTTTTCACTTATCTCTTTTTACATGTATATATATGTGTATAATTATTCAAAACAAATCATCAAGATATTATCCAATTATCTTCATGCTACATGCTATTAGAGTTGATCCCGTCAATGATAAATTCATCTTCCTCCTCAACCTCAATTACCCCATCACACCCCACCTTTTCCGTTAAACTCAAAGGCAACAACTACCTTGCTTGGAAAACCCAGTTCCTATCCCTGCTCAATTATCAAAATCTAACGGGTTTTGTTGATGGTTCTAATACAACTCTAACCAAAATTATATCAAACGTAACAAAAGAAAATGAAATCATTCTTAACCCATAATGCCAAACCTAGTTCCAAAAGGATCATATGCTCATATGCTGGCTTTTATCCTCATTATATGAGGAAGTTTTTTTTTGTTCCATTTGCATTACCTCGTCACTTTAGGTCTAAACTACCCAAGCCAATACCTTTGGTATATCCCAAAACAGGCAACTGCGGCTTAACATTGAACTGCAATAGCTCAAGAAAAATGATTTGTCAGTTTTATAATACATTCAAAAGGCCAAATCTTTAGCTGATGAATTGGTCTCCGTTGGTCATACTATGAACCCAGCAGAATTTAATGCAATTATCTATTGCAACATTGACAGAGAATATCACAATATTATCACTGCTCTCAATCTCCAACTTGAACCTGTAACCTTTAATGAGTTACACAGCCATCTGATTGCTCACGAGATTCTTCTCAAAAGCAACAATGAAGTGCCATTTGCTAATTTTACTATATGAAATGCAGCTCAACAAATAACTTTAGCCATAATAAGTCAAACTCAATGAATAGGTGTACGAGCTACACCAATAACCGACAACCTAAGAAGAACAGAGGCTCATGTCAAATTTGCAATCTGCGAAATCATACTGTAGATCGCTGTCGTTGTAATTATGAACAATCTGTAGGCATGACATCTAATGTACAAGCTAACTTGACTCAAGTGAATCCTAGAGCACATGCCAATCTAGCATAATCTTCTTGCAATCAATAATATTGGCATCAACAATCGTTTTAGGCGGTCGATTCAAGTACCAATTATCATATTACACTGAATCTTCAAGCATTGAATCACGTGAATACATATGATGGACATGATCAAGTCCATGTAGGTAATGGACAAAGTTTGACCATAACTCATGTTGGTAATCAAACACTTTCTTATCCTTCAAAATCCTTTCAATTAAACAATATTTTATATGTTCCATCTATGACTAATAATCTTCTTTTTGCACATCAGTTTTGTCTTGACAATAACTATTTTATTGAACTTTGGCCTAGTTTTTTTGATGTTAAGGACCAAACCACCAAGGAACTCCTCCTCAAGGGACACAATAAAAGGGATTTATACATCTTGCCACCTCAATCAATGAAGAGAGCTTGCATGGCGCACCTGAGTTTTGATGATTGACATAAGAAATTAGGACATTCTCATTTTATAATTGTATCTAGTTCCAATTCTTTATGCAGTAAATATTATGCTTGTATCATGGGCAAACTCACAAAGTTTCACTTACCATCCATGGTATATACTAGTATAACACCTCTAGAGTTGATCTTTTCTGATCTGTGGGGTCCCTCCCCAACAACATCAAATTTAGGTTTTAAGTATTTTCTTATTTTTATAGATAATTTCACTAGATTAAGATGAATCTACTTCTTAAAGAATAAAAATGATGTTTTCAATTGTTTTATCTCCTTTAAATCACTTGTGAAAAATCAATTTAACATAAAAATAAAATCTTTTCCATCAGATTGGAGAGGTGAGTTTCAGAAACTACACTCATTTTTTAACAAAAATGGTATTTTACACTGAATTGCATGTCCACACACTTATGAACAAAATGGAGTTGCTGAACAAAAAATAAGACATATTGTGGACATTGATCTAACACTCCTTGCTCACAGTCATGTTCCATTTCAAAATTGGCTATATGTCTTTTAAACTGTCATTTTTACAATTAATTTACTCCCAACTCCGGTTTTAAATAATATTACTCCATACTTTAAACTATTTTCCAAAAAATTTAATTTCTATGATTTGTATACTTTTGGGTATACAGTGTACTCACTTTGCATCAATATAACAAGGTAAAATTTGCCTTCAGAAGCAAACCATGTGTTTATTTAACTATCTCACCTAATCATTGTGGTTATATATGTCTAGATAAGGATACATATAGACTTTACATTGCTAGACATATTTCACTTGAGGAAAACAAATTCCTTTTTCAATCATCAACTCATTTGGCGCCAACACAACTACCTTCAACAGATACAACTTGGTCAGCTGCATAGATTCCTAATTATTTGCCTCCTTCACATCCTTCCCATCTAGACAATGTCTCCCATTCAAACACATCAGCCTTGCAAAATTTATCTTCAACAGAATCCATTCAATCCCCCAAAATCCTGGGCACTTATCTCCTAGTGACGACCAATGTCCTCTGCTTAATCCAAATCTAGAGATTAGGTGCCTATCACCTAACCAATCATTGGCCATTCAAACTCTTATCCAACCATTAAATGATGATAATTCTGTATCCCCACCTGATTTAAATTTAATGGTTGATCCTACCCAATATCTTACCTTCACCGAAACTCAATCACCTTCTACTGATCAAAACTGAACCCATCCTATGATATTACGTCCCTCAACCTTAGCAAACGACATACAAATCATGCACGTTGTTCTCCAAAAGCCCAACCATCTCCCAACTTCCTTCAAATTAAACCTGCCACCTTTAAGCAAGCCTTTTCATATCTTGAGTGGTAAAAAGCCACGCAATCCAAATTCAATGCTCTAAAAGAAACGAATACATGAAAATTGGTACCTAAGCCATATAATGCTAACATTGTTGGAAATAAGTGGGTTTTCAAGATTAAACGGAAGCCAGATGGATTGATGGACAAATATATAGCCTGCTTGGTTATTGAAGGCTTACACCAACAGTCAGGCCTTGATTACTAAAAAACTTTCAACTCAGTCATTAAGGTCACTACTATCAGATTAATTCTTGTTCATGCAATAACTCAAAGGTGGCCCATTAAACAGTTAGATGTCTGAAATACATTCCTCCATGGGTTCTTGGATATTGATATATACATGGACCAACTTAAAGGGTTTATTGATTCTTCACAGCCCAATTTTATGTTGTTTCAGGCAATCCAAAGGCGATATCTCACTTTTTTTTTTATAAAAAAATTACTATAGATTCTAATAAAATTTTTATTTTGATGTACATAAATAATATACTTATCATAGAAGACTCAGTTGTTGTACTCAATACATTAATTCAAAAGCTTCAACATGAGTTTTCTGTGAAGGACTTTGGTGATTTTTCCTTCTTTCTTGGAATTAAAGTTCAGCGTACAAAGCATGGACTATTTCTTAACCAATACAAATACATATGGGATCTCTCGAAGCAAGTTGGAATGACAAATGCCAAAATGTACAGTACTCCTATGTCTGTAACACTGCCCCTTACAAAATCAGATGGTCAACCACTTAAAGATGGTTCCATGTATCAGAAGATTGTTGGGGCCTTGTAATATGTTACTCTAATAAGACCAGACATCTCATTCACTGTAAACAAGTTATATTAGTATATACACACACCATCTGACACTCACTGGGCAATAGTAAAATGGGTCATACGGTACTTAATGGGTACATCTTCTTTAAGTTTATTTTTTGATACAAAATCATCTTATCAATTGCAATGCTTCAAAGATAGCGATTGGGGGGGACTGTCATAATGATAGGCGTTCCACAAATGGCTTTGCAATCTACTAAGGTAGCAACTTGATATCCTGGGTATCGAAGAAACAACAAATAGTAGCCTACTCCTCAACAGAAAGTGAATACAAATTACTTGCTAATGGCACGACTGAATTACTATAGTTGTAAAATATGATGCATAAACTTCACATCCCATAATGATCCTCTATAATCCTTTGATGTGATAACACGGGAGCAATTTATCTCACATCTAATCTAATATTTCATGCAAGAACCAAGAATATCGAATTAGATTTCCACTTTGTTCGAGAGCAAGTGGCTATGGGCAATCTTCATGTTCGGTTTATCTCAACAAGTGATCAACTTAGTGATATTTTCACCAAGCCCTTGCCTATCAGTCGGTTTCAGTTCCTTAGATTAAAGGTTGGGTTAGTCTTTTTACCAACAATGACTTGTGGGAGGGTGTAGAGAGATAAGAGAATATGATTATTCTCAATCAAAATTATTTAAACTTAGTATCCATCATTAGTTAGCTCTATTATGTATCTCTTGCTTATCTCTTTCTACCTATATATATGTATATAATTATTCAAAACAAACCATCAAGATATTATTCAATTCTCATCCTGTTATAGTTATAATTTTTTGAACTTTTAAATATTGTGAGACATTTTTGATAGAAAAGAAGAAAGAGCAAAAACGGAACAAAGAGAGAGCAGAATGACAAAGAAAAATATTTCATTCTGAATACTATTTTTGCTGCTTACAGGAATACATATATTGCTACTTGTGTTGTACTGTAGCAGAAGAAAACAAATACATATATTGCCACTTGTGTTGTACTGTAACA